CGTCATTCTGCCGCTCCAGCCCCAGTGAAAGGACATTGAGAGAGTGGACTCTTACATGTACCTGGGTGTTTATCTGAACCACAAACTGGACTGGACTCAAAACACAGATGCCCTCTTTAAAAAGGGCCAGAGCCGACTCTACCTGCTGAGGAGGCTCAGGTCTTTTGGAGTGCAGGGTCCACCCCCTGCATGACACTCACTTTACGACTCACTCAGTCCGCTGCTATTAATTAAACTATTTATACCGGAGTGTGTGTTTGAGCACATGCGTTTTTTGTGTGTGTGAGTGTAAGCGTGTTCGTGTGTCGTCAGTTGCTAAAAGTAAACACACCTGTGGAGCGCTCCCCTGTGCTGCTTTTTTGTGCAACACTCAGGTCTCACACACACAGCGCTACAATACATACAGAATTCTGCCCTTTATTGGCCATTCCATTCCATTTTCTTCCGCTTCATCCGTTCCTGGGTCGCGGGGGCAGCAGTTTAGGCAGAGACGCCCAGACTTGCCTATCCACACACACTTCCTCCTGCTCGTCCAGGGGGATCCCAAGGCTTTCCCAAGCCAGCTGAGAGACATGGTCCCTCCAGCGTGTCCTGGGTCTTCCGCGGGGCCTCCTCCCCTCCCCTTTATTGACCTGTTTTTAAAAATGTACATTAAAGAAAACATATGATGAATCTTCTGTGTTTGTGGTCATTAGCAGTCAAACCAGTCACAACAGTAACAGTAAGTTATGTGATTTTAGAGTCACTATTTGATTTGATTCTCAATCTTACAGCACACAGTAGTGTACTGTAGTGTGGCTCAAGTACGCTAATTAAATGTCTCCACTACTGAATAAACCTGCAAATCTGCTGCTATGAACAACCCTGTCAATATAAATTGATACATCATTTATTCTACAGCGAGTTCGTGCTTATCCAGTACAGTCTATGCTATCCACTAAAAGCTGCCAAACCGAGGAGGCACGTCGAAACCACGGACTGTCATTGACTTGTTATTGAAACTGGACACTACACATGGTCTGATGTGAACACCCCTTTAACGCTCTGAACCAAACTCCACGTAAACTGGGGTTAAATGTCCATGCCGGTGTTATGTCCCGTGACCAAAAAGAGCACATATAAAAGGCGCATGCGACCGATTGCGCCACTCAAAGTCTATCTGAACAAGAGGGTCTTACCGGCTACCTCCTCAGTCTTTGATCTGACCTGGAAGCGCCAATTTGCCAGTTTTAAAAGTCCGGGTTAACCACAAATATTCCAGACACGTGCGCACAGACGCAATACGCACTGCAGAGATTGTCGGCCATCTCTTTTATTTTTTTTATCTAAATTGATTGAAAATCAATCAAAATTGCGACACCCCTAATATGCAGTGCGGGAGACTTTACTTAAGTTGTATTATTGAAGTTTTCACAGCAAGATGGATTAAACTAATTGGACCATTAAAAACACAAAACCACAACAGTGGAAGAAATTGGAAAACTAATAGTCGGATACTGATATTGACCGATATCGGCCCCAGTAAGTGGTCAACCCCACATGAGACTTTTAACTTTTGAAGTAATTGAAGTGAACTATCTTAAAGACCTTATGTCGGGTTTTTAAAAAAAAATTGTGGATATCAAAATTGCATGACAATGTCAATCTAAAAGAGATTCCGGCAAAAAAAATCCTATATTTTATAAAAAGAACGTGTTTTTCATGAATTTAAGCTGTCTATGTCCAACCTGTGTGTGACGTCATAGCGGGTAACGCCCATGCATTGAAAACCATGGATCTATGCCACAGGACTGCCTTTTCTCTCTTCTCTCCACTGATGCCCAACACAATACTGCACTCTACAGGTGACAATTGCTCACTACACATAAATTGCCGTTTGAGAGTGAAAAAGTGTCTGAGGTGCGATTTGAACCCCAGTATCTGGATTTGCAGTCCATCGACACAACCACTGGACTATCTCAGTTCCAAAGAAAACTTACAATCTAGCATTTATCTCAGACTCACTATACACGGCCTTGTTATCTTGAATATCCGCGAAAAAAGAACAAATACCAAATTGTAAACAACTTGAAACGTACCCACTCTGACGAAGTTTTTTCGTCTCTAAGGGCGTTGCTATGGGGTTATTTCGATTTGGGGGGTCCAGACAAAAAAAACAACAACTGATTTTGAAACCTTTAGTAGTTCTCTTCTAATATAAAATGGTACTAAAACTGTATTTCTAAATAAATCAAACCCGGCATAAGGTCTTTAAGTAGGAATAGGCCTATGTGAAAAAACATGTATAATGGGTTAGTGAGACACAACACTTTAAAGAAGAAATAGGAATTCACACTTTGCGTCCAACCCAGTATAATATAAGCAAAGCCAAGCAGATTAAAAAAATGAATAGATTGAAATGATTAAATACTCAAAAATATATCCTTTAAATATCTCATTTAAAACATCTAAATTAATTATAATGTCTTGAGCTTAAAATGTTGAGAAAAATCACATGTTCTTCAAGAGGCGCTCATAAAGGTTCTTTACACGACGGACAAAGGTCTTTGTCCCACTGTGGTGATGTCATTGTTCTGAGGCCAACACAATGTCCCATGAGGCTTTGGGAGACAGAATGAGCTCACCTCTGCAAATGACTCCATTAAGAAAGATAACTGAGAGTTCTCTTACATACAGCATGTGTTTTGCTAGATAAATATGGCCCTTATATGGTTTTCTAATGTTTGAATGTTGGCTTTATTCACTGAGACAGCACGTTATGTAAAATAACTCCCAACTGTGAAGACATGAGCTCTGTTTGAGAAAGGCTAAAAATATCTCTTTCCTAAACATTATTGCTCCCAATGGTTGACCTTATGTTGAGCTCAACCTTAAGGAGTTGGTAAGAGATGTTTTTTTGCCAAACATTTTTGAAAATAGAGCAAATTGAGGTAAAAAGTATTTTGCTAAAGACGCAGGTAGTTTTGGGATTTGAAAGAACAATGTTGTAACATGCTTACAGCTCCTTTTGAGGAGCCATATGTCTTCACCTGTGTCTCAAAACATGAGGTCCACATCTCCAGAGCAAACATAATATTTTCTGATCAAGGTTTTAATTCTTTATTCTTACATACAAAAATATTGTTCATTATGGTCACCTTTCTTTGTTATTTCTCCTCTGGAATTTCCCAGCAGAAATCAGGCGGTATCTTAGTGAAGCAGTTGCACATGTGTCTGGACTGTGTTGAATGAGTCATTAATGGAAATGTATAGTCCTGTATGTGCAGGGCTCGGCCTCACATTATTATATAATCTTCTCAGGAAAAATCATTGCTATAACTGTAGATTCACGTTGACGTGTGAGGACATTGACACCTACGGTATATAGGATGGCCTAAGTCAAGGCCTGGGGGCCAGATTCGGCCCGCGAGACCATTCCCGGTGGCCCCTGAGATGATTTTAGATTATTTTAAATGATTATATTAAATAGCAGCATTAATGGAAATAGGCGACAATGGCATGTTATCATTACTATTTTTCCCAAGAAAACAACCATAACATTTAATTCCATAAGAAATGTCAAGCCAACATGTAATTAAAAGTTAGTATCGTTATGTTATGTTTTATTTACGAGTCAATTACATTTCTTCTTAAAGATATTGATTTCACAATTTTCTCAGGAAAGAACCACCCTCTCCACTTTTTTGAACAAAACTCTCCGGTCTTATTTGACGAATCACCAGAATGATTGACAGTTGGAGGACCAATAGTTTTGATGATCCACCGGAAAGTAGAAAATCTTCCAACCTTCAATATTTGGTCCAGTTTTAGTTCAGTCCACAGGAACTGAACTAATTCTAATCAGAAAAGATCTAACAAATGTGAAACAAGTCATTCATAAAGATACCTTGATATTATAAAAAGTGTAATAAATGAAACCCACTTGTTCTTTCGGCCCCTGACCAGCCCTTTAATTTTTTATTCAGCCCTCAACCAAAATAAGTTTGACAAGTTTGACCCAGCTATATACAGAATATTTCTGTTTGTTGATGGGCTCTCCTCCAGCACCTCCTCATCTCGCCACTGCCTGAGACATTCACTGAGTACGTCATCCGTTTTGGCCTTCTCCATGATGTAGTTATGGAGTTTGGATGTTTCGTCCTGGACAGTGGCTCTCACACTCACTAGTCCGCGGCCTCCTTCTTTACGGCTTACGTACAGTCTCAGGGTGCTGGATTTGGGATGGAACCCGCCAACCCCTGGTGAGGAGCTTTCGAGTTTTAACATCCGTGGTCTGAATCTCTTCCTTTGGCCACCTGATTATTCCCGCAGGGTATCTGATCACTGGCAGGGCGCAGCTGTTAATTACCCGGGGCAATTAATATATTCATATATATATATATATATATATATATATATGTATATATATATATATATATATATTAGTGCTGTCCAAAATATTGCGTTATTAACGCGTTAACGCAAATCAATATTAACGGCGTCATTTTTTTTATCGCGCAATTAATTTTTTTGTTTTTTGTTTTTGTTTTTTACTTTTTATTGCAGACAAACACATATACAGAAAAAAAAAATAGAAACAAAGAAAAGGACTAGTTCAGATACATTGTAGACAGAGATTACAAACAATATGTAGTTGGAGATACAGGGGGCCAAAGAAGAAACCCAGAAGGGCACATAGGAGAAGTGTTGTGCGTGAACGAGTTCAAAAGAACGCGTTCATTGAACACGCTCATTTTTTCGTGAACATTGAACTGAACGCGACACATTTTAAAAAAAAGAACTTGAATGTGAATTAGTTCATTTTATGTGTCATGAACGGCAGACATCACTATGAACGTTGGAATCTGTTTTCTCTTTTGAAACCCATCGAGAGAAAGTTCCTCCTTCCTGTATTCTCGCACTTTTTCCGCCGAAATCTAAAAATTCCTACGGTGTCCACCGTCTGTGAACGCACCCCGACTCCGTGTTGTGGTGCGGCGCTGTGAGCTGGTGCTTTTCACATGTGCCCGAGTCGTGATGAAAACACAGGGTGAGTTAGCGACAAAGTTTACACCGTTTACATTTGACATAAAGTATAGACACACGCACTACAGCGCATTACTGTCTGTAGTTTATGAGCAGAGATGGAGCAACTCTGTTTGGCTCCCATTGAAAACCATGTAAATCTAGTCTGTTTTGTAGTCAAAAGGCTCTCCTCCTGTGGGTGTACAGGAGATATATATATATATATATATATATATATATATATATAGCTCGTAGTGTGAAAAAAATATGTATTTATCTCACAAAAAAAGTAAAATGAACTGAACTTTGAACTTGTTCAGAATTAAAAATGTGAACTTTGAACGTGTTCTGTTCACTTTGAGCATGTATGAACTGAACTTGAACTAGTTCAGAAAAGCTGTGAACTGGCACAACACTGCATAGGAGGAGGAGGGGGGGGGGGTTAATAAAAAAGACAATACAAGCAAACAGTATACAGTCATAGATATACCGAAAGTAAACAGAGAAACAGCATAGAGCAGGGGTGCTCAATACGTCGATCGCGATCTACCGGTCGATCGCAAAGGTAGTATTGGTAGATCGCATTAAATAAATGAAAAAATTACACATTCTAAACAAATATATACAAAAAACTCCGGGCAAAGTGGAGATTTTTGAAAACTCTGTTAATGCATTTGTGTGTAGACAGAGATAACCGGAGTTTTGCGTTCTCGCACGCCACAGTACCCCCCTAAATTCCTCTGATCACTGAAGCATGGATCATACTACCTTAAAAACTGTTCACTGTGAGATGCTCGCAGCAGCGAACATCCTCCACATCAGAGAGCAGCAAAGTGATCGCAGGGACTCACGCTCGAAAACAACCAAACCAGGACTAAACCAGGACTAAACCAGGACTAAACCAGGACTGAGGACGGGGTCAGTGCTTGTAAACATACGTCTTTACTCTGAGTGTCTTCTATGACTGTAAAAGTGCCGTTACCGGCATCTGCATCAAAGCTCCGTCCACTTCTGTGTTTTTCCCCAACGCAGGACAGGACGTAAGAGACGCACATGTTTGGAATGTTACGAATGTGATTGATAATGCAGATGTGTGGATGCAAATTATTTTATAAACTGAGGAGGGGAAATATTTGGATTTAAAAAAAACAGGCATGGCACATGGACATGGCACCACAGTCAAATGACATCTGTGTTTTACTCAGTAATGTTTTACTGACACTTAGGTGACTGCACATGCGCAAACAACCGCGCTCAGTGCAGGAAAGCTAAAGCACGACAAACTTGTCAGCGAGTTACCACCAATTTTCCGGACTATGCCTCCCTGGCCGATTCAATTCAGTGCAAGTCATCAGAGTAAACTCGGGTAATGACAAAAAATGTACATAGGTAATTGTGTTGTGTTGTGCTATATTGGCTCATGCGGTTTTGCATGTACATAAACATACATTGTAGGTATACAGAATATTTTTTGAAATAAATATATGATTTGCATTTTTGTAGTAGGTAGATCATTTTGACTTGATCCTTTTATAAGTAGCTCGCATGCTGAAAAAGTGTGAGCACCCCTGGCATAGAGTATTTACATGAACAAATTTACAAAATATTTACAGATTGTTTATCATCATCATAATGACACCATGATGTTTCTATACAGTCTATGGTCTATACCCACACACACACACACACACACACACACACACACACAAATGTTTGACTAATTTGCGATTAATCGTGAGTTACCTATGAAATTCATGCGATTAATCGTGATTAAATATTTTAATCGTTGGACAGCACTAATATATATATATATATAGTGGGGCAAAAAAGTATTTAGTCAGCCACAAATTGTGCAAGTTCTCCCACTTAAAATAATGACAGAGGTCTGTAATTTTCATCATAGGTACACTTCAACTGTGAGAGACAGAATGTGAAAAAAAATCCAGGAATTCACAGTGTAGGATTTTTAAATCATTTATTTGTAAATTATGGTGGAAAATAAGTATTTGGTCAACAACAAAAATTCAACTCAATACTTTGTAACATAACCTTTGTTGGCAATAACAGAGGTCAAACAATTGCTATAGGTCTTTACCAGGTTTGCACACACAGTAGCTGGTATTTTGGCCCATTCCTCCATGCAGATCTTCTCGAGAGCAGTGATGTTTTGGGGCTGTCGCTGAGCAACACAGACTTTCAACTCCCTCCACAGATTTTCAATGGGGTTGAGGTCTGGAGACTGGCTAGGCCACTCCAGGACTTTCAAATGCTTCTTACGGAGCCACTCCTTCGTTGCCCGGGCGGTGTGTTTGGGATCATTGTCATGCTGGAAGACCCAGCCACGTTTCATCTTCAAAGCTCTCACTGATGGAAGGAGGTTTTGGCTCTAAATCTCACGATACATGGCCCCATTCCTTCTTTCCTCAACACGGATCAGTCGTCCTGTCCCCTTAGCAGAAAAACAGCTCCAAAGCATGAAGTTTCCACCCCCATGCTTCACAGTAGGTGTTGTTCTTGGGATGCAACTCAGTATTCTTCTTCCTCCAAACACGACGAGTTGAGTTTATACCAAACAGTTCTATTTTGGTTTCATCTGACCACATGACATTCTCCCAATCCTCTGCTGTATCATCCATGTGCTCTCTGGCAAACTTCAGACGGGCCTGGACATGCACTGGCTTCAGCAGGGGGACACGTCTGGCACTGCAGGATTTGATTCCCTGTCGTCATAGTGTGTTACTGATGGTAACCTTTGTTACTTTGGTCCCAGCTCTCTGCTGGTCATTCGCCAGGTCCCCCCGTGTGGTTCTGGGATTTTTGATCACCGTTCTCATGATCATTTTGACCCCACGGGATGAGATCTTTAACCTTGCCTGCAAGCTGAATTCTTGCGGTATTTGCGAGTTCACAAATACTCGAGAATACATCTTGCCCCGCTCCCGCCAACCCTTTTCGAGTAGAACATCTAGGTGTTCAAGCCAATCACGCGCCAGTCTGGGGGTTTAAGGCGGGATATCCGGGTTTGACGAAAGCAAGAAGTGCCGGGCCGAAGCAAAACAAACATGGCTACGCAGGAGGACGGACGCGTAGTTGAGGCTATCAAGTCAGTTTTAGTAGAATCTTTAGCAGAAAGATGAACAGCGAGAGGCGCTTTGTGCATTTCTGGACGGCAAAGATGTTACCGGGATTGGTTTAAGTCAAACCTTGGTAGGCAGGCACACAGCGTCACTTCGCCCAATCAGCTTGAAGTACTGCTCTACTGTTCTACTGCTTATTCCTCCTTTCCCCGAAAGTATTCTCCTGCAGAAGTCCCAGATTGATATTGTGGAGAACACGATAGAGTTCTACACAATCATCAATCTAGCTCTTGCCAGGTTATGAGATCTTGCGATCGAGGGAGATCAGTGGTCTTGTATGTCTTCCATTATCTGATAATTGCTCCCACAGTTGATTTGTTCACACCAAGCTGCTTGCCTATTGTAGATTCACTCTTCCCAGTCTGGTGCAGGTCTACAATTATTTTCCTGGTGTCCTTTGACAGCTCTTTGGTCTTGGCCATAGTGGAGTTTGGAGTCTGACTGTTTGAGGCTGTGGACAGGTGTCTTTTATACAGATAACGAGTTCAAACAGGTGTCATTAATACAGGTAACGAGTGGAGGACAGAAGAGCTTCTTAAAAAAGAAGTTACAGGTCTGTGAGAGCCAGAGATCTTCCTTGTTTGAAGTGACCAAATACTTATTTTCCACCATAATTTACAAATAAATTTTTTAAAAATCCTACAATGTAAATTCCTGGGTTATTTTTTCACATTCTGTCTCTCACAGTTGAAGTGTACCTATGATGAAAATTACAGACCTCTGTCATTATTTTAAGTGGGAGAACTTGCACAATCGGTGGCTGACTAAATACTTTTTTGCCCCACTGTATATATATATATATATATATATATATATATATATATATATATATATTCCACCGACTCCCACTGATGACTGCTGTCGTTGTGTCCTTGGGCAAGACACTTAACCCCACTTTGCCCAAAGCCCCCACTGAAAGATCAAGGCTATGCTCTCACTCAGAGAGCAGCCGTCCTCCTGTGGACTCACCACCTGCAGAGGGTCAGTGAGGGGCTGGTGCTATGAGACTTGGGTGGCATCTCTGATTGCCACCCCCCTGACCCAGAAATGGATTAAAGGGTAGAAAATGGATGGATGGATGGATGGAATATATATATATATATATATATATATACAGACCAACAGTTTGGACACATCTTCTCATTCAAAGAGTTTTTTATTTTCATGATTATGAAAATTGGAGATTCACACTGAAGGCATCAAAACTATGAATTAACTCATGTGGAATTATGTACGTACTAATAAAAAAAAAGTGTAAAACAACTGAAAATATGTCTTATATTCTTGGTTCTTCAAAGTAGCACATTTTGCTCTGATTACTGCTTCACACACTCTTGGCATTCTCTTGATGATCTTCAAGGTAGTGACTTGAAATGGTCTTCCAACAGTCTTGAAGGAGTTCCCAGAGATGCTTAGCACTTGTTGGCCCTTTCGCCTTCACTCTGTGGTCCAGCTCACCCCAAAACCATCTGGATTGGGTTCAGGTCCAGTGACTGTGGAGGCCGGGTCATCTGGCCCAGCACCCACCACTCTCCTTATTGGTCAAATAGCCCTTACACAGCCTGGGTGTGGATCTACAGTCAATACTCATGAAAAGAAAGGAAACTCATTGAATAAGAAAGTGTGTCAAGACTTTTGGTCTGTACCGTATACATTTATTTATTTTTGCGTTTACAAATGTGTTGTAAAAAAATAAAATAATGTACGTGTATATACAAAAATTTTAAGTGGCCACAACATGAACTTCTGCATTCTTTCCCACTCCTACTCGGGTTAATCTCTGACCTCAGAGCCTGCTGGAGGGATGAAGGGGAGGGGAGGAAGCATAAAGATATAGTAGTCTGTATTTACCTAAAGGTCACCCCACCATTACACTTTGTAGCCCAGC